GAAAACTGACACTGGGGCAAACCACGTACGCGCACACTTGGGAACGGTGCCTCGTACAACAGAGAGGACCTCCGGAATTCGCTTGGCATTTAGCGGCGCCACACGCGACTGCCTCGGAAGGATATCCCCTAACGGGCGAAATGGCCTGCTCGACAGCAGACTCAGTCCACCCGAGATGGGTGTGCATGTGTGACTCTTGCGCAGAGATGTGACTTGTCGCAGACGACGCCACGCGTGGGGTTGTGTCAGTTTGAAAAAAGCATGGCGGCAAGCACTGTGCTCCGGTCGCTCGACCTCGTGGCTGCCATCGTCGCCTACCAAATTGGGCTGCCGCACGCCTTGGCTGCGTTCCAGCAAATCGTCGACACGATCGAGTTTGTGCCGTTCATCGTTCATCGCCCGACCTGCCGGCGCTTTCCGATCGTTCAAAAGTCATTCGGGTATCTCACCAACATCCCGACGCGGTTTGCGCGCCTGCCGTACCTCCAGCGGTACAAGCACCCGAGAGAGAAGCTCTCGCACCACGCACTTTTTGTCTCGCCGACGAAGGTTGACCCGGCCTTGGCGCTGCACCTCGCGATTGTCGAAGGCAACATGGCGATCGTCGAGCTCTGGCTTCGACACGCGCCAGCGCTCGTTTCGTCGGGCGCGCTCGAGCTCGCGGCGGCATCGTCCCAAGGAGCCATTTTGCGACTCTTGTATGAACGGTGTCCGGAGCTTGCGACGCCCAAGATGATGAATCTCGTGGCCATGTCGGGCGAATTGACGCTTTTGCGTTGGCTGCACGAAGCCGGTGTGGCGTGCACGGCCACTGCAATGGACGGTGCAGCCATGAACGGCCACCTGGACGTCGTCATCTTTCTCCACGAAACAAGAACCGAAGGCTGCTCGGATGCCGCGGTGACGACAGCCGTGCGGAATGGCCACGCGCCAATCGTCCGCTTTTTGCTGCAGCACGGCTATAAGCACACCGATGTGATGCTTCTAGCCTCCACGGTGTACGATGCCACTCGAACGCGCTGCGTGTTGGGCACGTCTCACCTCAAGGCTCTCGATTTGGTGGCACCCATTATTGTCGTCGACGCGCTCGGTCTCTGTAAGTTGACGCAACGCCTCGGGCTTGCGTCGCTGCGCTACTGTTGTGACCGCGGCTACCAAACCGTCACGCCGCAAGTGATCGAGATGGCGGCTGCGCAGCGGAACCATGCAATGCTTCGCTACGCCCTCCACGTCCTTCGTCAAACGTACGCGCCCGAAGCGGACGTGGCGTGGCGACCCCCCAACGACGACGCCAACTTTGTGTTTTGGGACCGCTGCGAGGCCATGGACTTGGCGGCTTGCTTTGGCGACGAAATTGCGCTGCAGCTCTTGCACGACAGCCGTCTGGATTGCAAAACCTACCAAGCAACGCGGTTTGCGAGCTACTACGGCCATGTACACGTGCTGCGATGGCTCCACCGCCACGGACGCCTTGCCCACGACCCGAGTGCCATACAGCTCGCAGCGTGTATGGGACACGAGGACGTGGTGCGCTGGCTCGTCGAAGTCGGTGGCCTGGTGTCGACACGATCGGCACTTGCGATGGCGGCCTCCAACAACCACTTCCAGATTGTCCAGCACCTCGTACACGCCATCGGTGACGACGACGACGCGATTGAGTACGCACGCCACGATTGGGTCATTGTCTCGCTCCCAGATGGGCCCGACGAAACGACCTTTCGCATCGTCGACTATCGTCCGTGCAGGCATGTATCTGGTCGGGCCGCCGACTGGGCTGCCAGCAATGGTCACCTCGAGACGCTTCGGTACCTGCTCGCGCACGGACGGGGTTTGAGTGCCCATGGCATGGACGGCGCGATTGCGTCGGGGCACTTGGCCGTCGTCACGTTATGCGACCGTGAGCGTGGCCTTCGCTGCAGCCACCGCCAGTTTCTCTCGAAAGCGATCCTCGCCAACCACGGTGCCGTTGTCGAGTACGTCCTAGCGCGCCGCTGCTGGCGCCCCAATCTTACAAGCGACGAGGTCATGGTCGAGCTCCACGTGCTGCATCTCAACGCAGCGACGTGTGGCAACGTGGACCTCTGGCGCATGATCGTGACAGCGTTCCCAATCGCGCTGCCCGAGCGCGTGCAAGAGCGTATCGTGGTGCGGGCAGCGGCCAAGGGCCACCTCGCGCTGCTTCGCCTCGTGGTCGAGACCTGCGGCTACCCACTGACGCCATTTGCGATCGAAGCAGCGACGCGGTGCAGTCGCAAACGAGTGCTGCAGTATCTGATGACGCATGGCCCGCCGTGTGCATCCTTGTTTCGCCCCTCCGATCGCACGAGCCTTTTCTATGGTTGCGAGGACGGACCGCTTTTCTACGATCGGGTCGATGGCCACAAGCGCGTGCGACTGCTGTAACGTTGAAAATGCGTGTCTTGTGGACCGAAACAGATGAAACGATCCATAGTGGACGATATTGTCATACATGCGTGTCGCAATCAGGAGCGCGGGACAATGAGTCATGGCGCTGGTCGAGCTGTAGGTGCACGGATCGAATGTACTATAAAATTGTTGCTGGGGGACCAGTCCCTATACCACTATCTCGCCAAGCATAACGATGCGCTTGTCTGCATCACGGAACCGCAACAAGGGCATGGGCGTTATAAAGGGATGCTTCTGTACGATCGAAACTTCGAGATTGCATCTCAATTGGCCGTCAGCGAGGTTGAGCAAAGCAAGAAGATAGTTGAACGTTTGTATGGTCAACTACTCGAGTGCTAGTGCGCCACCGCAGCGACCCATTTCTCTCTGCATCACTCTCCCATGGTCATGGCAGCCTTGCTCGTTCTGGTGTTCGCCTTGACATTGAGATTGCTGTTCAGTTTG